CTAGTTTTGCTATGTCATTGATCTACACGCAAGTCGTACTCAACTGGCAATGATACTATAGGTAATGAATACCAGTCAAGACTGAGTTTTAATAGAGTAGAAGCCAAACTGGAATCGAATCACTAGAAAGTTGGCCGATTTCGATATCTGGCTTTCAGGTGTCTTTTTGCATGATCAAATCAAGAAATCTACCGAATAGTGACATTATTGTGAAACTGATAATAATTTATGAATTTTGATATTCTATTAAAAGGATTACTGACAAACATCTTCAGCTGGGACATTAAATCAAACACGATAAGTATCTCAAAGTATATGTGTCTCTTGTCCTTGACTTTTAGGGGAGCTTCGCTAGTTTCTCTAGGTTTCTTTTGAATACGGAGAATTTGAACTTCAAAATACCATCTCCTTATTCCGAGTATTTTTCGAGCGGATTCTACCGAGAAGACACTGAAAAGTCATCATATTCCAACAAAAAGTATCAGTCAAAATCATCGATCTGTGAACGATGAATATTGGCGGATTAGTTGTAGTTATCTTTTCGTATCTCACAGAAATTCTCACAGTTGCAAACTGGATTCATGCACCAAACATCGTCAGAAAAACTCTAGTTTCACAAAAACCTTTTAGTCTCAAAGCTAGTACAACAAAATGAAACCATCGACTTCGGTGAACCTTTCTGAATATGAAGAACTCGAGTTTACTGTTCGATTCATCAGATAGCTATCACCCGAATTTTCTTAAAACGTCATTTTTTCGGAAGAAAATCTTCTTTGATTCAAAATAAATTCATCCTTTGAACTCAACGATCATGAATAGCTTCTTTCGAGTTTTATAAAAATTTCCCTGTATCCAATAATATAAGTCTTTGATATGGGACAGAATCAGACTGCAAAGATAAGTTTCAAATACCGAATTTCTTTCTGAGCAGTTTCATGAATAATTATTTACTTGCGATTTAGAGAATGTAACTAAATAACACCGCTGTATAGATCGACATGCATACTCACGTGTATCTTACCCAGATCGTTTATGTAATCCATACACGTAAATCTAATTATACATGTATAAAGCTACTAGGAAATTGACTGCAATGTGCCAGGAATTGAACATATGCTAACAGGGGAGAGAAAATATTTCAGAAATTTCAGAAAGTAGAAAAGAAAACTGGAACTGAGGAAAAACGATCCGAAATATCAAAATTTACCGCGCTTCAAGATACAGATAAGAGCTAATTGAAAATAAAAGAATTTAGTCCATATCCTGTCATCATATCTTATTCGGGAGTACACAGTCAGTACTCGTACAGGAGGCGGTCATATTCAGCGATTTCCGGAAATACTACTTACAAGATCAGCGCATTTGTCGATTGTTTTTTACTCTCTATTTCGTATCGTGCAGCATTTATCTCGGCACTGATGATGTGAAATAATTACCACAGCATTGTGAACGAAAAGGATATTAAATTAGTCATAGATCATAGTGTTCAGAAGAAAAACAATATGATGAATTGATTTTTACATCAAAAATAGAAGATATATAGTAATCATCATGTTTTAAAACATTGAAGTGAATAATACCTTCGAGTGGACTATCTTTTAGCCGTTTTCTAATCTGAAAAAACATACACACTCTTTGTGTGATGAGAAAGTCAAAATATTTTCATCTATCAAATTATTATTACACTTTTAAATCATTGATTTCTACACATCGAACGCTCCAATAGATTGTGACCAATGAGTAAGCAAAAAGTTCTCAAACTTTACTATTTATTGCAGGTGTCTATTTGTTCAAATGCTTTCATAAATATCTTTTGTATTTTATTGATTATCTATGTATAGCACATCAGCATTAACATCAACATCCACAATATCAACAACAACATCAATATCAACATCAACAACATCCACATCCACATCAACGTTAACATCAACAACATCCACATCCACATCCACATCAACATCAACAACAT